AGAGGTCAGGAGGGTTGAGGGAGGGGTAGGGGGTTAGGAGTCCAGGAGGGGTCCGTGGGGGCACACAGCGAAGGGCACTTCTTAAATGGGGCTATGGGAAGGGATGGGGGTCGGAGGAAGGGGGACGAGGGGAGGAAGGGTAGTGGGTTGAGGAAGGGACAGGGGTCAGGAGTCAGGAGGGTCAGTGGGGGGACACACCCCAGCGGGAAGGCAACTCTTTATGGCTATGGACGGGGTGGGGTCGGGGAGGAAAGGGGACTCGAGGAGGAAAGAGGTCAGAGTGGGGTTGAGGGAAGGGACAGGGGTCAGGGGGAAGTCAGGCAGGGTCAGTGGGCACCACAGCGGAAGGCACTTTCTTTATGGCTATGGGACGGGGGGGTGGGGTCGGGGAGGGAGAAGGGGACTTGAGGCGGGAAGAGGTCAGGAGGGGGACTGAGGGGGGGAAGTGGTCAGGAGAGGGGACTAGGGAGGGTGGGGAAGAGGTCAGGTGGGTCGAGGGGAAGGGGTCAGGAGGGGTTAGGGGTAGGGGCAGGGGAGTAGGGGGTCAAGCGGGTAGGAGTCAGGAGGGGTAAGGGAGGTAAGGGTCAGGACAGCAAGGGGCATAAATTAAGGCGAGCTGCCGGTTGACACGCCCATCTCTCAGGCGCTGACCCTAGCTCTTTGCTCTCGACACCGTTACCAATCATGCCATCCGTACACCCTCGGACCCGAACGTAAGAGAGAGGAACGTCTCGCTCATCTTTTCGTTCATCCAACCCCTCCTCGACGCTTCATAATGACTCAAAACTAGATTTTCTATTTCCTATGATTATCGTAACGAAAAAAAAAGAAAAAAGAAAAAAGGAATTCTCCATTTGGAATTTCTGAACCCAAAAAAAATGGAAGTAAAAAGGTTTCCGAGTGGATCGTCCTGGCAACACACGCGCCGGAGTTATGAGGGCCGACTTTCATTTGTTTTGCCGGGAAAGTGAATGTTGCGGGAACGCAGAAGTTGGGTGGGGGGTTTGGGGGGGGGGGGGGGGCGCCACCCGCCATTCTCAGTGAAATTTTACAACTTGGGATATCGACATGTTTTGGTATTGCTCTCTCTCTCTCCTCTCTTTCTTTTTTTTTTTCTCTCTCTCTCTTTCTCACTCTTCACTCTCTCTTCTCTTTCTCTCTTCTCTCTCTCTCTCTCTCTCTTTCGCTTTCTTCTCTCTCCCTCTCTCTCTCTCTCTCTCTCATCTCTCTCTCTCTCTCTCTCTCTCTC